TCATGAAAGCCCCAGCACCTCGTGCGGTAACACAGTCACTATTGCATGTCGGTCGCTAGGGGGTAAACCCACCACATGTTGGCAACGAGGGATCAAGCAACGCAGGGTTTCCCCCAGACTTAGAAGTGTTTCATGGGATTTTGAATTTACTAAGTTATTTCCGCATGAACGTTAAGCAAAGTTCAATCCATAAAAGGTAAATGGTAAGCCTTGAATGAAGTTGTTGGGTGACAAGCCTTGCCGAGCCAGGTACTCTCGAAATTGCCAGCGACAAATAAACATCGATAAACACACAAATAACGCAAATGACTTTTTGACATTGTTAAATACACCCCAGATATATGACTGGTTTCGAGAAGTTCTCAAAATCAGAACGTGATTTTTCTTCGACCTACTGACTCTGAGAATATTGTCAAATATGGTGAAATGAATCCCTGACCGCCCTAAATGGAGAGGGGTAGCCCCAACTGGCGGAGCCTTTTCCATCCATTTCCCCCCAAGGCTTGACCGCAGGTTGTGCCCAAGGATCGTCCTTAAACTTCCATTCGCTTAAGAGTTCATTGTTTTTTCCCTCTCTGTTGGTGTTAAAGGGAATCGATCACTATTGGACAATTTTTTTGTATTTTTTCCGGAGGTGAGAAAGCAAATGGAAGTAAACCATTCCATCCAGATCTTTGGAACCGACAGCCAGGAGGCATGAGGCTATCGCTGGACTTCCATCTTCTCACCCAGATGAGCGTGGGTGCGGACCTCAGAAAGTCTCGGTCTCGCCGACGTTTTGGTGCCTTCCTGCTTTGGGATTGATTTCCAGCCTCCGGATTCAAAAGCCAGAAAACGAGTTTGGTGGACCTACATGGTGTCTTTTTTGAGGGGGCACCAAAAGGAAAACCATCATTTTGGGAGGCCCAAATGGGTGGGCGCTCAGTTTGTGAGACCCCTGCGAACCCAGCTTTTTTTCGGGGTTCTCCATCGGATTTGGCCCCCAATTTTCCGAGAACTCAACGTGTGGCTGCCTTGCCCATAGAAAAGCCCATCTTTGAAAAAGGCGAGTGATTGAAACCAAAAGCCGCAAAAAAAGACCGCGAGCCTCCCCAGGCCGACAGAGGGCCTGCAGATTCTCATCATACTTGCCATGCGTGCTACTTGATTGGTCGAGCATGTGCCTAAATCTGATATATCCATGCAGGCAAGCAGTATTTAGAGAAGCATAAGCATGCATGCTTTTCCTGGTACGGAAGCATCCGACGCCATGTTGTTTCAATAGCGCTCACTTGTGCATGGCCATGCCAGCGCGATGTGCCGGCCCAATTGTCCATTGAAGACAAGGAACCCTGACATCCATTCCCCCACTTTGGGGGCCTCGCTGCAAACGGAAACTGGGGGCCTTGTGGCCAGGTCCCCCAGTAGTGCCCTTTTACCCTTTTTTGGGGGAGGGTTCCCCTACTAAATAGACTACGGAAAAACCTTTTTCTCCTCCTCTCTACTGGAGGACCTAGGTGGGTTCCATGTTGATTTTCAGCAGAACTCGAGCTCCAGGCAAGAAGGGCCGTAGAGGCCTGCAGAGGAAGCAGCTTCCATCCAAGGCCGGCCGTGTTGGCCTATGCCGGGAGTCTGCATGAGCCTTTCAACATGGGGGTCATTACCCACCAGAAGGGGTCATAGCCCCATTTTTGAAGGGTGATTGAGGCTCCAGGTAGTCCATTTTGGAGGAGCATGACCATCTCACTAGATTTCACAAAAAATCAGGGGGCAGACCCCGAATCTTGCGCGGGAATAAGCAATTTGGGAACACGTATTTTTGACATTGGCCAGAGCTTGCATCGCCTCCAGAATGTGTGACCCTTCATTGGCTTCCCTTGGCTATTCTCATTTTCTCTTGGTTTCCCTGCATGCTTCTTGGCTTCCCTTCCAACATAGTGCGGGACTTGCTCATGTCGCCCCGTCCAGGAGCCAAAGGGCCACTCCTGGAAAGGCAAGAAAAACCCTTTGAGTTGTGTTGCGCAAGACTCTTGGTGTTTTCACGTGTTCGCATAAGGCGGTCCCTAGTTTTGACACCAAACCATCCGCGTTGACATTGTTTGCGGCGCATACCTGCAGCCTCCTCATACGACTCCCCATGCGATTCCCGCACAAAGCATGGTCCACTAGCCGTTGACGCGGGTTTTCTCGAGGCAGCATCCTCGTGCAGTTGTGAAGCGCAACCAACCTAAAGACTTCAGCGCAAAAGTGCGCCTTGACGCGTCAACTTGCAAGCAGGGCTTCTTGACTGCGCGTGCATTCCCGCGCTGTTCTGTCTCACCTCCCTACTCAGGTTTTAAAACATGGCTGACGCAGGGTTCTATTTGCATGGGCTGCACGCAGATGACTCGGGGAGGTCGCGACGAAGCGGACGTGCAAGCAAACAAGCAGGCGAGCAAGCTAGGCCACGGTTGTCAACGTGCGCTGCACGGGGGCCAAGGGGCAGCAAACGGCGCAAACGGCGCGCGCCCGCGCGCCCGCGCGCGTGTCGATCCAATCGACACTGGGCCGACTGCCAGGCGCAAGAGCGTTGTCAGCCTTTCTTCTCGGCGGCGTCTTGGCAAGATCTGGACATGCCGGTGAGCTTTCGTTCTTTTCTCCGAGGGCTCACAAGGTTTGTGGGCAGATTCAGGCCGTTTGTAACAACCCTGTCACTTGCATTGGGTTTTCATGTTTAACAAACAATGCTTGTTTCCTTCGATTCAAAGTACCCCCTTTGTCACGCCTCGGAAAAGAACAAGGTGCTCACCGTTGTGGGGGACCTCTGCGGAAAACTGGAGGAGGTCTCTGGTCAGCTGGCTGGCATGGATGCCGAGGACCGGGGAGGGCATTGGGGGGAGCGCTTCCCGTACCAGAAGATGGGAGGGACCCCGAAATGGTGGGTTGTCCAGTTGTTTTCGTCTTAAACCGGCCCCAAAATGAGCCGAGAAAAAAGAAAAAACAACGTTGTATGTGTCAATGTAAGGCATGATCCCAGTTGTTTTGGACCTGTCAAATCAGCTGCACCGCCCCCAAAGTGGTATTCTCAAACCATACGCACCCCAAGTTAAGTTGCTGCTGAAGGAGTCCGAGCTTCAGCAGCTACAAGAGCAGGAGAAGAAATGCATTGAGGCCGGCTCATTGGGAGACTTGAGCTGAGACTGCCTCATTTTTTGCCTGCGGGGTGCTCTCGGCTTGCTTTCGGAACCATATTTGGGAGCCAGCTGGTCTTGTGCTCTGTTTGGAGGTTCACTAAGTGTTGCTTGTGCAAGCTTGCCTGCAGTGTGTTGTGTCCAAACCTGTGATTAGGGACCGACCCCACGCAGACGTTCAGGTTTCAACAACGGTCGCTACCCAGGTTTGTTGCAATCGGGGGCAGCAAATTGTAGGAAGCTCAGTTGATGAGCAGCGAAGAAATCCTGCTTCTTTGCCCAAAAGACTCAGGGTGCTTTGCAGGACACTGATGCAGCACTCGTTCTCACCTTGAAGAACGTGCGTCTGTGTGGGTCAAAACCAATGTTACCATTTTCGGGTAGGTGCACCACCCATTTTAGTCTATATTAGTGGGGATTGGGATGTTCACTCAGGATATGGAATTTTGACCCATGCCAATATACCAGGCATATGTGAGTTGTCCCAGAGTCACAGAATGCTGGCGTGTCCGCGGATTGTCAGAGCCCCTTCCGAGGATGGTGGGGTGTGAGTTTCTGGTTTGAACCAGGAAAGGACGAATGTAAGCATGTTTGAATGTAAGAATGTAAGAATGTAAGAAGGTAAGCATGCACGGTTGCAATAATGCAGAAATGCACGACTGTTAGAAGCAATTCTACAATGCACAAATGCAATGATGCCAGAATGCGAGAGTGGAAAGAGGTAAAAATGCGAGAATGCAAGCGTGCGCGAATGCAACAACGTATGATGGCACGAATGTCACAAGGCAAGGTTGAAATCATGGACAAATGCAACAACAGGCCACAATACCAGAATGTCAGCGTGCATGAGTGCAAGAATTTGAGACCCAATATCCCCTTGTCTCCGACAAATCCTTGGGGGCCTAGCTGTGAGTAATATTGTCCGTGGCTCATATTCGGGTTTGCTTCAAACGGGGGCTACCCCCAATATATGAATCGTTTTCCTTTGTTTTCCCTTTAAAGCATCCCCAAAAAGGTACAACCCGCAGCCAACTGCTTCCAGAACATTGAAAACACGCCAAAAGCATAGTTGCACTCCAGGCCCCAATGCGAGCCGCTCTCAAAGGGTACCCTCAAACAAAAAGCCGGTTTTGCGCTTCGGCTTGGCGTAGGCGTTGCGCCCATCCATCGGCACCTTTGTGGAGCTTTCGATTTTCTGTGGAGCGCGGCTTGGGCGGCGATTTTATGGGCCCGGATGGGCTTCGTGTGTTGGCTCAAAAGAACAGGCACATAGGTGTCCTGTTTGATTGATTTGTTTGAAAAATAGAGGCTCCTGGTTTACCTGGTGGTTCAATCAACTACCAGGGCCATCTATTTTCCCAAAAAGGACACCTATGAACAGGCAACTTCGGGTGGTGGAAGAACATGTAGTGGTTTCATAGGGGGGGAAATTGAGGGTTTGCAACAAAAAGACATGGTTATACGGAGAACCTGAGGGGAACATTCTTTCCAACCTTTCTTGGTTGGTTTGAAGGGAAGCCAAAGAGAGACCTGTTTTGGGTGAACCCCCTTTGGAGACGAACTTATCACAACCCCTTGGTTGATAAATGCAAAGGGGTTCAATTGGAGAGGCAGGCCGGGTCACTTTTTAGGGAATCACCCTCTTTTTCACCCGCAAGCTTTGCTGATCCGGGGCCGACATTGCCCTCACAGCCCACACGAGTGGGACCCTCAAACAACACCCTTTTAGAAAGATGGAGGTGGGTTGGGTGTGTCTTTTTTAGGATGGTTTTCCTTGTGGTGTCCATTTAATACCCCCAAAAAAGGTACCTTCAAGAAAGACACACCCATGTAGACCAGAAATGGTTGGGATAGGAACGGTTCTATGACACACCGGGTACGGGCAAGGAAATGAAAAACTCAAGACAGGGAGGGTGCACCTACACTCGAAGCACAAATGACATGTCACGAGGTTCATTTTAGCTGTGAGGGATATTGGGGGGACTTTTTTCAAGTTCCCACAAAATCGGGGCGCACAGTAATTTTCCCCTACCTTTTCCCCTACCTTTTTTTGGTGGGACCCATTTTCCCCTACTTTTGTTTTGGGGTGGGACCCGCAGACATCCGACGTCTTCATGTTGCTTCGCCTCTCGGCATTGAACTTCGCCTGAGGAATGCGATGATGGAGAAGCTGGAGGCATGAGCATACATTTTGCTTTGTAATATTAAACCTACAAAAGGTGATCCATCTTCTGCTCGTTCCGAGGGAAGAGCCGCCCAGTGTTGTGTTTCTTTTCCACGGAACCAATCAGATCTCTGTTTTGCGACTCACTGTGGAGCTATTGGGGGCCACAAATAAGTGGGCACAGGAGAGAACATTGCATAGCAGGTTCTGAAATATGATCCTGCATCCTTGCTTCCTGTCGGCTCTTGGACTTGGTGGGGAACACTCGGGAACACTGCGCAAAGAATTGGTTGGCGGACATGAATTTAATGAATCCCAACGAACATGATGTCCACCAAACAATCCCTGCCTAACAAGACCCATGTCCAAATTCCCTGAGTGGGAAGGCCATTTTGTTGAGGGCGCCATGAAAAAAGGGGGGGCCAAAACGTATATCAATTTGGAAACCACATGTACATGAGCGATTTCAGGGGCAGCAAGCCGGGGAGCGGCGTCAGAGTATTGGTTCCGGTGCCCCCGCGCCCGTTTTGGTCGAGCGGCAGGCGGTGTTGGGGGAGCGGCACGCGGCGAGCTTGGGCGTCGCTGCCGGCGGCCGGGAGATGCGAGTGGAGGCGGTCTGCAAGGCGGTGAAGGAGGCAACGGGCGGCGACGGGCGCGGGGAAGAGCGGCGGGAGTCGCGGTCGTGCGGTTGGGTTGGTGGGTGGGTGGGTGTTTCTTTTTTGGGGGGAGGTCATTCATCTAACACCTTAAAGGGAGACCAGAAGGAAAACCATCATTGGGGGTCCCCCTGTTTCGACATTTGTTTGTTCTTTGGTTCCAAGGGAAGCCACAAGGAAAGCCACCCTATGTTGACACATGCCAGTCCCTCCAAAACCCACATTTTTTGGCGGGGAACTGACAGGAGCCACGAACCATCCTTAGGAATCCCGTAGGACTTGTTTCGCGGAACAATGGAGTAGACTTGGACCTTTACCATGAAGGTCCTTATAGGATTCCTTATTGCGGCTTTTTTCCAGACGCTTTACCCTACAACTGTCACAGCTGAGAAACAGCAGCCGGCGAGTCCTTCATCCGCTACCATGGTTTTGGGTAGACCCCTTGTAGTAGTCTTGGCGTTTGTGACTCAGCGGTGTTTTGAGATCAAACCTTCTCACCATTGAGATTGCCAGCGCTGGGGAGGGTTTGGACACCCAAAGCTGATGGGACCATCCCAAGCAGAGACAAGCCGGGGCCCCTTGATCTCCCCGAAAGGTTCTCAGAAGCATTTGAGCAGAATCCCTTCTAAGAAGGTTCCCAACTGAAACTCCTTTGCGGGGGGGGGTATGGTTTAGCATTTCATTAACATTTCAAACACCTTGCGCATTTAGGGTTGGGATGTATGGGTCACAAGAATCTCCCCCCTGGAGCCCGTTTTGGGCGAAACGAACATCCCAGCCATTCCGCCAGGCCTTCCAAATCCGTGCCTATGGCAAGGGCCTGCAGGAGGGGGAAAGCGCCTGGAGCCACCTCAGGCGGGGCGGGTGGGCTTCGAATTTCCGGACCCGTGGGAAAGGAGAGAGGAGCCCAAGGTCTCAGGGTACACCTTTCGACCTTTCGGGATGGGCAGCTGACGAACTCGCGCGGGAGTTTGATCTTCGAGCAGTGGCAGAAACGCCTGCACATCCGAGGGTTCTCGCACAGCAGGCGGCTGTTCCTGTGCCCCACGAGGTTGCAGTAGATCGTTGCGTTTGTCCTGAAAGCTTCTGAGATCTGAAAGGGGTCCAGTGGTTTATGGAGAATCGGAGAGGCCAAGCTTCCATGCGCAATAGCCCGGTGGACGAACCAAAGTTTTAACCATGCTTCCCGCATGGTCACAAGGGCCACATAATGAAGAAACAAACAAACACAAACGGGGGATGGATCTTGGCGATTTTCCGGTCTCGCAATACTTGCAGCAATTAAGGTATGCTTTTGTCCCAGTCTCCCAAGAATTGCAGCAATCAAGGTATGAGCTTTCGTCCACCATGGTTTCGCGCTCTCGTTTCTCGCCAGGCCCCTGGTATTTGGAGGCCGCAAGTTCTACGAGAAGAACATGCTGGAGCTACGGGAAGCCATGGTGAAGTTTCGGGGCGCCCCTTGGAAGTGATTTTTTTTTTTTTAAGCACATTTCCGGCAGGGGGTGGATTTTTTTCCATTTTTTTCCCGCATGGTTCAAGCAAAAAGCGGCTTTTTTTTTGGTGGAAGCTCCATTTGCTGGACAATCCTATTTGCGGGACATCCTCCAGCAAACGCGGCTGTTTTAGTGGAAGTTCCATTTGCGGGAAATCCTTTTTGGGGTTCTTCCTGTGCAGGGGATCATCTCGAGTCAGGAAAGCCTGGAGAAGAAGCGGCGGCATGCCTTTATGGCGGCTGGGACGCTGCTCCACGAGTACAGCACCTCAGCGGCTTTAAAACACATCATGTAGTTTGTTGTATATATATATTTTTATATATAACTGTATATATATATATAACTATATATATACATTAACTATATACATACATATATATATATATATACATACATATATACACATATATATATATACATATATTGTTTGCTCCCCGAACCCTACGCTCGGGGATTCGGGAGGATACGAAGGTTTTCATAGGAACTCTCTGAGTCATGGATTGGGAAATTCAGCCACGTGAGAAGGTAGGCGCCTTTTTCAGGACCTGATTCAGGTCCTTAATTTTAATTGTTTTCTGAAATCATTTTTTTCCTGCTCAGTGAGTTTGAGCAACTGCAGATTGGCTTCGAGTTGGCAAACATCCCATAAATGATGTCCACAGGGTCCCCAATCAATCAGATTAATGGACCTTGTTGCTAGTATGGCGGCTTTCCCCTTGGTCCATTAAGAATATCATCTTTTGCTGCTGCCTTTGGGCAAGTGGCAGTGGGTCAAAAATAGGGTAACCCCAAAATGGAACCCTGGTAAGTGGAAACATTGACTAAAACCTGCCGTCCCCTGGTGGTTCAATTTTAACCCATACCCAAGCGAGAAGCATAGCGGCCCCCGCTGGCTCGCTGTTTCGTCGCCCAGGCAGCGACCACGCCTTCCAGCGGGACCTCCGGGGCCGTCTCGGGAAGCTCTTCGAGGTCCGGGGTTCCTTCGAAGCGCGTCGCCGCGCAAAAGGGTCTCAACCGGAAAAAAAAATAAAAGAAAGAAAGACGCTACGCTTCCCCAAAAAAGGCGGGGGGAAACCATGGCTAACCCTCCGCCCCGCCCATTTTGAGAGAGGTGCGAGTAGTTAGGTGGTGAGGTGAGCAGCCTGGTGAAATGGAGGGCTGAATGCTCAAAGCCCAAGAGGTGCCCCCAGGGACTTTCCTCAAGCGGAAACACCAAGCTGGTTGAGGTTCCCAGGTTTTCCTCCTGCCAGGGTCCATATTAATTGGCGGAGTCCATGACAAGAGGAGTTGCTCCAGTGGGTGGTCAAACTCGCTGTGGTTTGTCTAGCAGCGTTTAGACGTGTCAATCTTCCCCCCATTGCTGTTGCAGCCTTCTACCCCACTGATGCAGAAAGCTCTTTTTGGCAACGAACAAGCGGCCATAATCAAGATCTCGACGAGCGAAAGATGGACATCAAGGTGACCCAAATTGCTTCAACAATACGCCCAGGGTATTTCCCGCAAGGAGGGTCTCAACGAAGCGCTGCGGAACAACCTGGACTTCGTCACGGTGAAGTCTATCCTGGTGGCCGCGCGGAATATGCCACGCGGCCAAACAGGGCTCCTAAAAAGATACATGTTGCACATTTGAAACATGGGTTTTTCCGCCAAAATGAAGGGAAACCACCATGTACAAGGCAATGTTCAGGTGTAAAATGTAAGGATCCCTGCCAAAGGGGTTGAGCAGTTGAGTTTCTTTTTGTCCAGGGGGTGACTTTGGCCAAAGTTTCGTCAGTTGCGAGGTTCGCCCATTTTTCTTTTTCTTTTTTTCCGAGGTCACCGGCTCCCCACCTCCAGAACGATCCTTTCTATTTTTGGACCCCCTAGTTGCAGAAGTGGGGGCGTCTTTTTTGCCCCCTCGCCGGAACCACACAAAAGAAAGTCCTGGGAGCCCGAGTGGCAGAAGACATGTCAGGCAGCTCGGGGACTTCTCGGCGCCTCGGATGCGATTGGTCCTTTGTGTTTCTTCCGCTTGCTTAAGAATGTGCTTTTCCCTTGTTGGTTTTAAAGGGAATCTATCACGGGTCTTAACCGAATGGAAGGTTTGTAGAAAGGGGAAGACTGCCACCTGGGGAAACTGGAGGAAACCCAGGGCTCCACTTTTTTGACTACCCCAAGATGCCAGGGTTTCTCCTTTTTGGGGGAATTAACCACCCCTGAAGTCTACACTTGGGTAGTCAAAAAGTGGAACCCTGAACCACACAATCGGGGGGTACCTCAAAAAGAAGACTCCTGCCAGAAAGCCAAGTCGGTGACTGTGACATATACCGTATACCAAAGGTTTGACCTTGAAATACACTGGCATAGACTACAGAGACAAAGGGTAAACCCCAACGGTGTGAGCTAAAGAACTATCAAGTTGCGGCTCCAGGTTTAGATTTGTTTCGGAACTTTTGAAGCAAAGGCCAAGGATCATCTACTCCCCCCCCTTTCCCATGGACATTTTCCCGGCCTTATGGCATTTATCAAGCGACTTTTCTGCTGGGAAGGGCTTCCCTTCAGCCACGTCCCAAGCAGGGCGCCCACTTCTCCCGGCTTCCACCTGGGCCTTCCCCCCGTGGGCTGCGCCTCGTTGCACGCCACGCCGAGCTGACGCCTTGTAGGCGCCAGTGAGCCTCTGGCTGAAGCAGCGCCTCAGCTCGTCCCTGCGGAGCCAGCAGCCCGTGCAGACTGTGGTGGAGCTGGTGCAGTCCGCCAAGGCAACGACGACTCAATGAGTGCCCCAAGCCCCCAGCCCATATACTTGTCGCGTTTTTTTCCTCTTTTTTTTCTTCTCCCCACGAACTGTTTTCCTATATGGGGTATATACAGGGTGACCCCGGTTGGATTGTCAATGGGTGCTGTTCGGTTCTTTTAGCATTGAATTGAATCTCTCCGAATTGTTATTCGGTTCTGGTCGATTCGGTTCCTAGGATTGTGTCGGTTCGGGCCCCATAGACTTTCGATTCCCACCCCGGGCAACATTTTCTTGACACTAACTACCATTCACTCGCCTTCCGTACCAAGATCTATCAATATAACATGATACAATATTTATATAAATATACTACTAAATATAGTATACACATATATTATATGTTTCAGACCTGTTTCAGACCTTGCTCAGGCCACAATTCTGCCGCAAGCCAGTGTGGGGCATGAAGTGAATTTCAGGCCCATATCAAAAAAGATGGGACGGCGCGCCCCCCAAATCTGATTTCCATTCTCAGGACCTCCAAACAGCATGGCACGTCCGGAAAAAGTCCGGAAACAACTTGGAGTGCGCTCGGGGTGCCCGGCATGTTAACAAGCAGGCCCAAGTCCTTTTTCTCGATGTGCCTGATTTGCGGGAGCTTTTCTTCCCAAAGCGTTTGAACCGGTTTGAACCAGGTCTGAAACCAGTCTGAAACATTGAAAAAAATCTCCCCAACTCCTGCTGCTTGCCTGCCTTGAGAAGGTTCAAGACGTGGTAAGAGCCAAGTTCCCCCCGCCGCCCCCCGCAAGGGGAAGCATCCCCTGAAAAATTGGCTGCGCGAGAGTGCAAGAAAAAAGTTGATTCCATCAACACAATAGTTTCAAAGGATGCTCCTCCCCTGGCCCCTTGGCGCCTCTGGCCGATGGTTAGTCCAGGCCTCGCAGCGTGAGATGGGACGCGCCTCTTTCAGAAAGAAGAGCTTTGATTTTGCATGACCCCCATCCTATCTCATGCCCTTCTCTTCTTTTGGAAGTTCTTCTTCCCATCTCCGGAAATTGTTTCCAATTTTTCCGGGGGTGGACCCTGACACTGGGGGCCTTTTGAGAGCCTTCTCAAGGCAGGGCGCGGGGGTTGGGGGAATCACTTAGACTGGTTTCAGACCTGGCTCAGACCAGTTCAGACGCCTTTTAAAGAGTCCCGCTAATCAGGCACATTGCGAACAAGGACTTGGGCCTGCTCGTTAACAGTCTAACCACCTCAAAGCGGCGCGCTCCAAGTTGTTTCCGGAACGGACTTTTCCACACGTGCCATGCTGTTGCCCCTGACAGATTTGAAATCAGGTTCGGCAGCGTGCCGTCCCATCTCACGCCAGGCGGGGTGCGCCGCCGAATCTGAATTTCCCGGAATGTTGACAAGCAGGCCCAAGTCCTTTCTCTCAATGTGCCTGATTTGTGGGGGCTTTTCTTTATACAGCGTCTGAACCGGTTTGAACCAGGTCTGAAACCAGTCTGAAACATTGAAAACGACCCCCCCCAACTCCTGCTGCTCGCCTGCCTTGAGAAGGTTCAAAACGTGGTCAGGCCCCGCAAAGATCCCCGGAAAAATTGGGGCAATTTCCGGGGATGGAAAGGAGGATTTCTAAGGAAGGGAAGGGCATAATAGGATACGGTTGCTAGACAGTTAAGTGCTGCGCGAGAGTGCGCGAAAAAGTTGATTCCATCAACACACAAGTTTCAATTGATGCTCCACCCTGGCTCCTTGGCGCCTGACTGGCGGCTGATCCAAAAGCAGATGGCCACAGCATGAGATGCAGCTACGGCTGCGTCTACGCTGCTGGCGGGGTGGCGGTAAAGGAGGTCACCGCCACCCGGGAAGCCCTTGAGGAGGTCCGCCTCCTCAACCTCCTGGCAAAGCACCCCGGGCACCCCAACGTGGTGCTTTACCACGGCTACTGGCTGGACGGCGCACGGGGCACCATCTGCTTGGTGACAGAGCTCCTCCGCCCGTGCCCCTTCATGCCCAGCCATGTAGCCGGGGTGCTTTGCGGCCTCGCCCACCTGCATGCCCGGCTGGTTGTGCATCGGGATGTGAAGGAGGACAACATCCTGATGCACGCCGCCAGTGGCAATGTCAAGCTCATCGACTTTGGGTGTGCAAAGCTGCTCCAGGTCGGTGAGCTTGGCCGCCCGCAGCGCACGTGGAGCGTAGTCGGCTCCCCCTCCACAGCTGCCCCCGAGGTGGGGCGCCAAGACTTTCCAGAAAGAAGAACTTGGGCCGATTTCTGACACTTCCCTGCGTGGGGGGCGGAGCCTTCTCAAGGCCAGGGGTTGGGGGGATCATTTCCGATGCTTCAGACTAAGGACTTGGGCGCACCCCGAACCTCTTAGCGCCTGACTGGTGGCCTATCCAGGCCTCGCAGCGTGAGATGCGCCCCCCGAATCTGATTTCAATTCTGTCAGGGCTCCCAACAGCATAGCACGTGTGGAAAAGTCCGGAAAAAGTCCGGAAACAACTTGCCCCCCCGCACAGGGAAGTGGGTCTACCCCCGGAAAAATTTGAACAATTTCCGGGAATGGGAAGGAGGATTTCTAAGGGTCAGACCAAATCGGTCAAGGCTCTTCTTTCCGGCGAAAGAGGGGTTGCTAGTCCGTGTCTGAAACTCAAGCAAAAGAAGCCGGCGGTGTCTGCCCCCGGAAAATTTGGAAGAATTTCTGGGGATGGGAAGGAGGAGACCAAAGGAAGGGAAGGGCGTGGGATACGGGAAAAGTTGCGCAGAGGCGTTTCTGGCGTGAGCAAAGCCATGTCAATCTCAATCATAAATTTGTGTAACGTCCCGGTTCAAGAGAGGTTCGGTTCTTGCATTGGCCGATTCTTAGCACCAGCTGTTATGTACCGGTTCGGTTCTACACGGTTCGGTCCCGGAGCGGTTCGAAGCGATTTGATTCTGAAAGGGCTTCGATTGCGGTTCTTGAATCGATTCTATGCCTCCCTGTATATACCAATATGGGGTATATACCTATATGGGGTATATTCCTTTATATCTATAATATATATATATATAGATATATTATATATATATATAATATATATATATATATATATATCTTTCCCCATCACCTGGCCGGCCGTAACGGCCTCGATCGATGGGAAGAACGCGTGCAGCTCGGGCGCGCGCGCCTCCGGTGGTGATGCTGGGGTCATGATTTTTGACGGTTGTTTTTGGGGGCAGTCAAAGTCAGAAAACCGTGGGGGGGGGGAGTTGTTTCCCTTCAACCAACCACTTTGTCAGTGACTTTGATGATGGTAAGATCATGAGGCCTGTAAAACCACAAGCCCCCCATAAAAACGAGAGTGTTCCACATGATGAGCTCAAGAATCTGCAGACTTGGCTCTTCCGATGGGAACAAAGCGGGGGGGGGGGGAACGGAAAGCAGCGGAGCAACTGCGAAATGCAAGGGGAATCCGGAATCCTAAAGGGTGAACCGAGAAAACATGGTTGGTGGGTGCACGTTTCGACTTTGTACAGTTGGTTTAAAAGTAGATGGCGCAACTCCCGCGTTTTGGGTTATGTGACACTTTCACGGTGTAAACCGTTTTTCCGTATGGTTTCACGTTCCAAAGCCAATCTCAGTTGTTCGATGAAAAAAAAACATATCGCTTCTAAAGGCATCGCATCATGGAGGGGGGAAGGGATCTCTGGAAGGCTTTGGACCTTCCAAAAGGGCTCAGGGACCAAGATGGTCTTGGGGTATTGGCCATGCGGTTTGTCACAATTTGGGTATGGCTCAAAATTAAAGACCTGGGGCAAACCGCAGGTTTTGGTCCATGTTTCCACTTACCAGGGTTCCACCATTTGGTGCTTAATCGGAGAAGGAAGAACCACGCAGCAGGGTTCTACTTTTGATTGGTTGAAGGATTCCTCTATCAATAGGGAACCTACCAAGATCATTGTCCCATTTTCCCAAACTGGTTTCATGGGTTTTGTTGGCGCCCAAGAAATCCCATTGGCAATTTGGCGGTTTGTTACAATTGGGTACACCCCCTCCCTTGAAGAAAGGGAATCCTGAGGGAAAAACCAACTAGTATTCGGGGGTTCTATGTCAAAGGGACACAATCCATGAATTCCATATTTCATTTCAAGACAAGCCCAAATAGTGGAACACCCAAAGAGATGGTTTCGCCAGGGATTTTGATTGAAAGCTGCACCAAACCTTGTATTCGGCTTTCACAAGATCGGTGGCAGACATGCTCCAATCTGGGAAACTCACAGCCACAGGGAGCCGGATGAAGGTCCATTGTGGAAGCGGGGCCATGTCCACCACATGGAAGCCCCGGAGGCTTTGCCTTTTGGATGATTTGAATGGGAAGGTACAAGGAAACCAATCACTTGGAGTCCTTTTTGTTGAGATCCCCCAAACCGGCGCCAGGATTTCCCGGGCTTGGATGGCGTGGCCATCGTGAAGCCTTTGGTGCCGCAGATCGTGGACAAGTGCCAACGGGCCATTCTGCAGCTCGACGGGGTCTCTGGGCTGGGCGTGTGGAGATGTCGGGGCTGGACGCGAAAAAAAAAATCAGGCGCCTTGCGTTGGGGGCTTGTCTTGAAATGGGATGTGGCATCCATGAATGGTGTCCCTGTGACATAGAACATCATAGAACCCCTAATACTTGTTGTTTGTTTTTCTCAGGATTCCCTTTTCCCCCAAGGGAGGGGTGTACCCAATCGCGACAAACCGCAAAATTGCCAACGGGATTTGTTGAATGGCTGAGACTTTGAGAATCCTCTTGAATGGCTTTGCAAGCGTGATACTAGACAGTCGCAGTCGTTGTCGGATAAAGTACCGCCTCGTCGTTCAACTTGAAAGCATTGCGCGGAAGGCTGTGTTTTGCAAGTGATGCAAGTGATAGGAAATTGGAAGCAGCATTCAGCTTTCATCTACTTTTCCACCTTGCTGTGTTCCTTCCGTTCATTTGCGGGGCATCACTGCATGTCGGCATTGCGGGCTACATTTGTTTTCAGCCTCAGCCTGGAAGGCACGAGCTCGGGTGTCGTTTTGGATGCCAAGCCGAGGTTTTGATACAGTTTGGGGTCCTCAGTCTGGTCAGTTCGGTTGACAGGATGGAACCAAAGCGGAAAATCCGGTCAAAGAGGTCAGTTTGGTTGAATATAAATGGTGCCGGCCCGGCAAAACCGTTTGGCCGTTCGGCTTTTGTTCAGTTCGTGAAAGAATCCAGTGATCTTTTATTCGACATGTTTCGTGGCATCGGACGGCATCACGCTAGGTCCCAGCAGCTTTCTGCTGCGAACGTGAACCAGGTGGGGCTCTTTGCAAAGATTCTGGGGCGCTGCCCTCAGTCTTCTGAAGTCGCGGCGTGTATAGGAACTCTTCTTTCCAGGACCCAGAAGGGATTTCTGTCAAACGGCCCCGAACAACTCTCCCCCTCCAGAGGTCCCTTGACAACCATTTAAAGCCGGCCAGAGGGATCATTGGGCACATGTGTCCAAGCCACTAGTTTGAGAATATCGGAAGGAAACTGCCAGTGGAGAGGATCGCAGCCAGTGCTTTCCTGATGGGCGAGTTGAAAGCCGAACCGAGGTTGCACCCTCTAAAACAGTTTTGTTTGGCTCGTTCCCCACAGCACTGCAAATAGTCAACCATATTCTAAAGGGCCCACGAATCACACGGTCAAGCAACCAAGAAGAGCTTCAAATCTTTCTCTACTTCTGGTTGGCTAGCTGGGTCACTGGCTCGGAGGTGAGCTTGTGCTGAGGTCTGCATTTGATCAAGCCCTCTTCGAGTCTTTGAAGCCAAGCTACGAGAAGCACCGCGCGGCTCGGTGAACCTTCGACCAGTTCGGTTTCCCCCACTTCGCCGGGCTCGGTCTCGTTGGGTCCGAGGTCCGTTTTGCAGCGCTGCGAAACAGTGTAGCAAAAGCTTGGATGGAGGTGGTGGTTCTACCTGGTTGCATGAAGGTTTATAGGAAAGGGCAATATCAACCGTCACAAGCGTTGGCCTTTTTGCTATGGTTTCATGGGGATCATAGTAAGTAGTAAGAGCAATACACCGTCACCCGTATGGCTTTTCAGTAGGTGGCGTACCTGGTTTATATAATGGGGGCCATGGTAAGGTCTTCATTGCCCTTTGCAACCTTCTTGGTGGGACAGTAAGGCAGGTACACACCTCCATAGCCATGATGCTGGGGAGCTGGGCAAGGTCGATGGAATCTTGCTAGGGCTGCATCGATTCTGCCATATTGGCTTTGGTTGTGCATGTTTGCAGCGGAGCATATTTGTGGTTGCAAGTTTGGGGGCAAAACCACTCCAGGTCCTCTACTGTCCCTTTTTCCCTCTTTGTGAATTCTCACTTCCCGAGACTCGGGAAGTTTTAGCCCACTTTTTGGGCCCACATGAATTTACTAGGGACCACTTCCCCTCGACAGTGGTAGGTTTGCCCTGGATCCCCGCCGAATTCTGATGTCCACCATTTCGGGCCCCTAATTCAAAACATCACACCCATATGCGTATGGGTCACAAAGAAACTACCAGCTTACCAGGACCGCGACCTGAAAAAAGAGCCCATGTTTCCCATTTACCGATCGGGCCACCCATTTTGGGACCCGTTACCCCCACTTTTTGCCCCACCGCCGCCTCAGGGCTCAGGGAAGCCCATGGCATGCTGAGGCAATGCTCACCGAGTGGCTGGTGGCATATACCGAGCACACAGGCGGAGTTGTTCGGATGGGGACTCGCGGAGGGCAACGCCAGTGTGCAGCTCTGGGGTGGTGTCTCTGTGTGCGTGTGCGTGTGCGTGCGTGTGTGTATATATATATGTGTGTGTGTGTGTGGGTTGAGGTGGAGTGGGGTGGGGTGGGGTGGGGTCACCTCTCTCTCCCTCTCCCTCTCATTTTTTCTCCCTCTCCCTCTCATTCTCTCTCCCTCTCCCTCTCATTCTCGTTGTTTTTTCTTTTTCTTTCTCTCTCTCTCTCTCTCTGTCCCTCCCTCTGTGTCTGTTTCTTTCAACTCCCCAAAAGGTGTCCTTGGTTTCATACACAACCATGTCTTGAATGAAGCTCGACCTGCAACAGCCATTCTGAAGGAGCAGTTCTAACTGCCGCTCTGCTCAGTATGCAAGGAGGGTGTGGGACAGTTTACCGTGTCCAGCTTGCGAGAAGCCAAGATAGAGATCATTCGCTTCAAGCGGATGTGGGACGAAAGTCGTCACCTGCGCATCCTTAAGCTGGGCCTTTTTGGCTCAGCTTTTTTGCCGAATTTGATCGATGAGACCTTCCTCCATACCAGGATGGTGAACTGGCAAGAGACTGCAGCTCAGTCTATGGCGAGCTCCCTTTGGAACTCCCAAAGAAGCAACCGGCATGTATGGCGATGATAAAATCCTGATCTGCTTTCTTCCATGTGAATTTGAGTTCTGACGATTTTCACGGACCTCCCAAAGAGTATTGTTTCCTTGTGGTTTCCCTACGCCAACCACAAGGAGAAGCCCGCCAAAACAGGAAGAAACCTCGCGAGTCGGCAGGCGCAGAGCTACCGCCGTACTGCATGAACGCCAACCAGAAGGAAGCCTTTGACTTGCTCCGCCAGGCCGGGGGCCAACTTCTCACTGCCTGAGATTGTTTGGTTGGACTGCTGGCAATTGAGTAGCCACTTCTTTTTCTTTTTCAGATATACGGATATATATATATATATATACACACCACAGAACGAGCTAGTCTTGCTCATCACTCTTATCCGGTGTTATTTCACCGCAAACCGAAGGATCGCGAAAGAGCCATGGGTCGGGGTTCCCATGCGCCAGCTTGAGTCGAGTCGCTCTTGCCCCGAGCAGCTGCTTTTGCCCCTTGGGTTCCGTGCGGAAGAATTCCCATAGGCCTATAACCTGTATGTACCTCTGGAGGATTCAGCATCAGTTGATTCGCAGTGGTCCTTAGGAGGACACACGCGTTCGGGTGGAACGTTTCCTAAGGTTCGCAACCCGCAACCCCAACCTTCGATGGTCGGAGAACATGCCCCCCAGTTTGAGGGCTGATCGAAGATAGTTTGGGGAGGCGGTGCCTTGAACCACCCATCTGCGCTCGGGCACCTTTAAGGATGTGTGACTCATGGACCCGACACCGAGCGCACACCCACTTGCGGGTGTCGAATTTTTGGAGGGCCCCCCAAAATGGAGGCAGTTGTCCATTTGACCAGCCAAAAACTCGCACTCCCAGAAAACGACCACCCATGTCGAGGGCTTAGGCCTGAAACAGCTCCAATGTTCTGATATGGGCGTGGTTCCATGTGTCTTTTGGCAGAACCCCCTCTTTTTTTTGTGGTGAAGAAAGGGACACCAAAAGAAAAACTCGCTGACATGAGTATTGCGGGCAGGGGGTCGTCCGTGCACTCGCTAAAGCGGTCATCTGTGCACTTGGATTTCGGTCGCTTGCACTCGCTGCGCGGTCGTTTGTGCACTCGCCAAGCGACACAACGTGGTACGTTCCAGCAGCGCGCGCAGCGCGCAGCGGTCACTTGTGCACTCGCCGCCACGTGCTCGCGTTCACCTGCACTCGCGGGCCGGTTGTTGGGGCTGGGGCGGGATAGAAATACCACCCCCACTTATTCTAAGACCGGTCGCATCTTCTCCCCACCCCTTATCGCATCGAAAACCTATGGCACAAATCTAATCTGTGTGGTTAATTACAGCGGAGTTCAATGCCTGGTCAAACATGCTACCAAATACCCGATTGTTTCCCGCGTTTCGAGCCCGAAAAGAGAATTCCACGCGTTTCAGCAAGCAGTCGCATCCCCACAAACGCGATCATTTGCTCCCCACCCCCCATCACGACATGGAAAACCTATGACACGAATCTAACCTATGTCCCACGTGGCTACAGCAGAGTATTGCATGACAGCCAGGGTCTGAGTGCTTGGTGCCCCACAATCGCTCCCTCTCAAAAGCGGTCGCATTCGGGACCTGCCCGCCCCACCCCGCCCTCCCCACTTCGCATCCCCAAATATCCCCACCCCGCCCACCCCACGTCGTCACATCCCAAGGAACCCACCCACTTCATCTCACCGCATCCCACCCCACCCACCCCACCACCCCACCCCGCCCCACTCCCCGTGCGTGGATTCCCATCTTTAGCTTCGACGCGACTCGAGATGCATTGAATGAAACCCTCCCTGCCGAGTTCTTAATCAAAGGGGTCCTGGGGGTCCCTTTTAAGAATGTGCTCCCCAACGACCCAGGCGGAATACAACACATCAAGATTCTACACAGATTGATGTCTGGCAACTTGGGCCACTTACAGAGAATGTGCTTCTGTGAACCTTGCCAACAGTAAATTTCAGCCAAGGCATGAGCGTCTTGGTGGCAGTGGTAAAGGCCAGAGCTGAAGGCCCGGCCGAGGGCCCAGCCGCTGCCGCCTCCGCCTCCTCTTACACCTAGGGCGGCACGCACGTCGTCGTGGTCCGCGCGCTCTGAGCTGAAGGCTGTAGAGCCATCGCGCGGGCGTTCTGAGCCCTACTAGCGTCTTTACAAATGTGTGGCTGTCCCTGCGTCAAATGAACATGACACTGTTCAAAGCTGGCCAATGTTTGGCGCAGCTCCGTCAAACTTTTGCACTGCCGCACGCATGGTCTGCAGAGCTTTGCTGCTTTGCCTAATTGCCGCCTTGCACTGGCCACCTTGCGTTGCACGCTAGTTGTGATTTGGAGCCATGAGTTGGCATAGCAAGCTGAGTTGAGAGTTGCCGAAGAAGTCATGAGAGCTGGCCGCATCTGATGAGTTTGGAGGCACTCTGGCAGTGGCTCAGTGGCTGCCTCCCACTGCACCTCATCCAACTGTGTCCCAACAAACCCCACCACCCCCACCCCGCATCACTGCGTCCCAAAAGTGGTCGGGCCCCACAGACCGCAATCACCCCACCCCACCCCACCCCTGAATTATTCAATGGTAGTGACTGTGCCTGACCATGAAACTGACTGCCTTTGAATAATTCAATGGTAGTCAGTTTCATGGTCAGGCACAGCCACCACCACTGAATTATTCAATGGTAGTGACCGTGCCTCAGTCACCACCACTGAATTATTCAATGGTAGTGACTGTGCCTGACCATGAAACTGGCTGCCTTTGAATAATTCAATGGTAGTCAGTTTCATGGTCAGGCACAGTCACCACCACTGAATTATTCAATGGTAGTGACTGTGCCTCAGTAACCACCGTGACTGTGGCCTGACCCTGAAACTAGCTGCCTTTGAATAATTCAATGGTAGTCAGTTTCATGGTCAGGCACAGTCACTACCACTGAATTATTCAATGGCAGTTACTGTGCCTCAGTAACCACCACTGAATTATTCAATGGTAGTGACTGTGCCTGACCATGAAACTGGCCGTCTTTGAATAATTCAATGGCAGTCAGTTTCAGGGTCAGGCCACGTAACCACCACTGAATTATTCAATGGTAGTTAGCAGCTAAACTGGTTGCCTTTGAATAATTCAAGTAAAGTCAGTCAAACTGAATACCATTGAATTATTCAATAGCTGCACTGACTGCTATTGAATAATTCACAGGTAGTCAGTTTGTATCTCTGTGTTTTTTTTGTTTCTGTGTTTTTGTGTCTCTGTGTCTCTGTCTGTGCTTGTGCGTCTCTGTGTGTCTGTCTGCAAACAAACACACAAACAAACAAACAAACAAACAAACAAACAAAGAAACACACAAACAAACAAACAAACAAACAAACAAACAAACAAACAAACAAACAAACAACCAATCAAACAAACAAAAAAACAAAGAAACACACAAACAAACAAACAAACAAACAAACAAACAAACAAACAAACAAACAAACAAACAAACAAACAAACAAACAAACAAACAATCAACATCAAACAAACAGAAACAAAAAAACAAAGAAACACACAAACAAACAAACAAACAAACAAACAAACAAACAACCAAACAAACAAACAAAAAAACAAAAAAAAACAAAAAAACAAAAAAACAAAAAAACAAACAAACAAACAAACAAACAAACAAACAACATCAAACAAACAAAAACAAACAACACCAAACAAAAACAAACACAAACACAAACAAAAACAAACACAAACAAAAACAAACACAAACAAACACGTGTCTATGTGCTTGTGTGTCTTTGTGTCTCTGTGTGTCTGTGTGTTTTTGTCTGTGTCTCTGTGCTTGTGCGTCTTTGTGTCTTTGTATCTTTGTGCTTGTGTGGTTGACTGACTTGTATATGATGCATGCATGGCTCATTTCAGCGGGGGTTCATGGTTATGGTCATGTTTGTTCATGCGCAACAGCAGCAGCATTCAGAGAACAACAACAACCGAAGAACAACGCCAACAACAAGAACAGCCACAAGAACAACAACAACAACAACAACAGCAACACCAACAACAAGAACAACAACAACAACAGCAACAACAACAACAACAAGCAGCAGCAACAGCCCCACGCCATGCTCGTAGCCCATGAAGAAGATGGAGAGAAAGAAAAGGAGGAAAAAGAGGAGGAAGAAAAAGAGGAGGAAGAAAAAGAAGGAGGAAGAAAAAGAAAAGAGGAGCAAGAAAAAGAAGGAGGAAGAAAAAGAAGGACGCCAGCGCATAAAGCGCTAGAGGAGGTGAAGAAAAGGCTGGAAGAGAAGCTCTGTCAGGAGGAGCAGGAGGAGCAAGAGGGGAAAAAGAAAAGGATTTTTGGAAAGCAGCTGGCTCCGCCGGCCTTTTTGACCTGGCCGCAAGTGGCTCAGGCATGCCTGCGCTGCCTGAGCCAAGTCAAGGCACGAAAGCCATACGAGGGGGCAAGCGGGGGGAAGCGTGTTTACAGATTTCGGCCGAAGACAAAACAAGACAGAGGAGAGCCAGCACCGCTGGCACCGCTGGCAGCGCTGGGAAAAAACCGGAAAAAGCTTCCGGCCTCACTCGCCGCATGGGAACAGCAGGAGCAGGAGAGGAAAGAGGCAAACCTGAAGAAGCAGGAGGAGGCAAAGGAGCAGGAGGTTCAGGCCATCCAGGAGCTGGAGGCGGCAGATGCTCGTGCTGAAGCAGGAGGTCAAAGGAGGCTGGAGGATGCGGAGGTGCAGAGCCTCATCAAGGATCTGGAGGGGGGAGGAAAAGAAAAAGAAGCAGCACGCGCTGACAGCAGCACAAGCAGCTCGGGCAGCGCAAGCAGCTCGGGCAGCGCGAAAGCCGCAAGAGCAGCCGCAAGAGCAGCAGCAGCTCAGGGGCTCGCAAGCAAAGCGGCAGCGAGACCGAAGCACCACAGCAAGGCAAGCAAGGCCAAGGCAAGCAAGGCCAAGGCAAGCAAGGCGAGGAAGCACTGGGCCGACTCGTCGGATGACAACACTGGGCACTCGGAGCAGCGCAGCCAGGGCTTTTGACCCTTTTTTTTTGTCCGGGCAAGAGACCCGACGGAGCGATTGAGATTGAGATAAAAAATATTCAACAAAGAATGTAATATTATATTGATATATATATATATATTTATTAATTTTTAGAGCTTTTTATATTTGAGTTGAAGACTACATTATTGAGATGTATATATATACATACATATGAATTGGATTTTTATTTTAAGACTGATATTCAACAAAGAATGTGATTTGTATCTAAAGAATGTAATATTATATTGATATATATATATTTATTAATTTTTAGAGCTTTTTATATTTGAGTTGAAGACTACATTATTGAGATGTATACATATACATTCCCGCCCCGCCCACCCCACCCCACCCCACCCCACCCCACTTCCCACTTTATTTCACTGCCCACCCCACCTCCCCAAAGCCTGAATGCGCACTTGACCGGCTGAGTGCGCAGATGACAGGAAGCTGAGTGTCACCCCACCACCCCAGTGCGTACTTTAGCGGGTGATTGCCGGAATGTGAGTGCGCAGATGACTCTGGCGACACAAGCAAAAATAAGAAGAGGTCGGTGAGTGCGAAGATGACCGGAATCTGAGTGCGCAGATGACCCCCTGCCCAGTTTAACTCCAAAGTTAACGCCGTTTACTTGCGTGGGAGTGGTTCATGCATGTGTTCTTGTTTGTCTTTTCTTGAACAACAATACGGGACGGCCAAAAACACTACCCCAGACCTGGAGGAACAAACCTGACAAGAACGATACAACGCGTCCTAACATCGGAAGGAATACACCCCAGACACGTAAATTCTGACGCTGGCTCCTTCGGGGCACCCCTTTTTTGTGGTGAGGAGCTCTTTTTTTCTTTTTTCTTTTTTTTTGCGGGGGGCGGGGGTCCCTAAGAAACGACACTCCTATGGCGATTTGGCCTCTGAAGGTTAGAGCCACAAACCACTTGAGTGCTTGGTCCTTTTAATCCGCGAATTCGGATGTCCAAACCACCCCATCTGTGGTTTCCAGGGCCAAAGTTTTTTAGATTTGGCCCTGCAAACCACAGATGTAAAGAAGAGGCGCAGCTTCGCTGGGTTTCGTGTTGCAACAACTAGGTCCCTCAGTTGCGCCCTTTTACCCTTTTTTGGGGGAGGGTTCCTCTGCTAAAATAAACTGCAGAAAAAAAGTTGGCACTCTGATTCTAACCTCTCTACTTGAGGACCCAGACAAAAATCCAAACCAAACCTTGGCTCCGAGCTGAGGCCATCGAAGCTGGTGATGTGGAACAGCTGAAGCGAGCGGCCTGGGCCTTGGATGCGGAGCTCGCAGCTGCCATTGGCTTTCGGTTGCCCAAGATGGAAGTGGAAGGAGGGTCCTTGGCACCCGGAACTTGGGTTCTTTAGTTGGTTCCTTGATTGCGGTTTAGGACCTTTGGTCCCTTAATTCCTGAACATGGTCCTAAGTTCGGTTGGTACCTTTGGTGCCTGGAACTTGGGCTTATCCCAGTCAACCTGGGCGTTGAAATGTAGGGGTTCTGATTCCTTTCAAGGAACATATTGCTCTTCCACCAATCAACATGGAACCTGACGTTCGGGAAATGGTCCCTTTAAAGGAACATAGTTTTCCAGGACCCCCCGAAACGTCAGGTTCATTGGCGGGAGGGTAGATTGAAAACCTGGTTTTCTCCAAGCGGTCAGTTCCATGGGACGTTTTTTTGTTTGTTCCTCCGCCGCCTGAAGCCACGTGTCCTCATGCTGGCAGGTTGTTCGCGAGCGGGGTACAGTTTTATTTTCAGCCGCAAGATACCCAGATATGCCCCTTCTTGCTTTTTGGAGAGTTCACGAAAAACACGCTCATGGCTGCCCAACTGGGTGTTCGCCATACTTTGCTTTACATGTGCAATGTTGTTCATGTTTGGGTGGGAAACACAATGAGGGATAGGACAAACATAGATACTCTCGCCATCTCTCGCGTTTTTTGTTTTTTTTTTTGGGGGGGTGGGGGGGTGGGGGTGGGGGCCATGTATATGTATTTGTTTGGTGTTTCTGGACGCACATATGTTCGCAGTTCGTTGTGAGGGGGGGGGATGACCGGGGCATGCATTTTTGTTTTTTTCGGTCCGGTGTTTCAACCCCCCCCCCAGTTTTGGTTTCCCGTCTCTTTGGGAGGCAGTTGATTGGTGGCTTTTGCGGAGCCCGATGGAGTTTTAACGTCTCTGAGGCCATCGAGGCCAAGACGGTGCCAGACCTCAAGAGCCACGAGGAGTTGTGCCAGGACCCGCTCGCTTCGCGCCGCTTCTGTCGCTTCGCGCCAGCTTCGCACCGGAAGGGTTTCACGCAGGGGCCAGGGCAACCGATTCCGATGAGGTCACGGCCGCAAAAGAGATTTGGGTCGGTGAATCTGAAAAAGGTCCCCTTAATGCAAACGGGCGCCTTCGCCGCATTTGTTTGATTTTTTTACCATTGTTCTGGGTAAACCATTGTAAAGCCAGGTTTTGACTATGACTCACATCGGAACAGAATCTGAGTGAACTGGTTATGCAACACAAGCATTTGTTAAGGTATCTACCAGGGGAAGCGGAATCACTAAACCGGTTTTCTTAGGTGCAGGAGTTCGTCCAGCCACAGTAGCGGTGTGAAAGTATGGTCTTGGAATCTCCATTAAAACATGGAGTCATTATCCGAAGGAAAGGGGGCCATGGCACCCCATTAACGTGGAGCCTCCAGGACATCATTTTCAACCTGGTGCCGGTATGCTGCGGGTGCAGCATACCGGCCAGGAGTGCAAACTGGGCCCCTAATTCTGATAACCTGCGCAGGGTCTCTGCCCAGATATTCTCGGCAGTGCTGCGGGCAGGGTTCCAGAAGCTTTCAAAAAGCACGACTGACACTGAGCCGGGTCAATTTGTTGGCCTTGTTTGGCCTGATCGAAGGTGCATGGGATTGGGGTGATCAGAGGTCACTGGATCAGGGATTGTCAAAGCCAGCAACCTGGGTTTTCCCTCCAATGAAAATCATAGCGAAACTGGCAAGCAAGGCATAGACACAAGCGCTTTTGGGCAAGAGCCGGTCAAACGGAGCTCTGCCTAACTGCATTGTGGCTGGGTTTGTTTACCTCAATGGCATCAAGCCCGCAGGAGTTCATACGGGCTTTGGACATCCTCAAGGAGCAGGCTCATATGCCGCCAGGCGTGGGACATCATTGATGTGTGGGTTCAGCTGTCCAGGTGGATGCCTAATGTGCCAACACCACTGCGCCCTTCTCGCATTCATGCCGTTACTATTGAGAGGTAGGGCATGACGATGGAACTGCTCTAGAGATTGATGCGAGTCCCTAGCATGGTTGGTAGGCTTCTGTTGCTTTAGGGAGGACATGGGTGGGACAACCCAAACAAGTAGTTGCTTCGTCCGGGCCATGGGGTTTTTGCAGTCTGCAGGCCCCCACAAACGGCTTTTTGCAATTGTCACGTGTCAATTATTCTGTTTTCTTGAATTGGACCACCAACTCCAAAATGGTTGGTGCCTACAAAGAACATGTATCTCTGATGTCCGCCGCAGTTGTTCCCAATTTCGGAAACTCAGGCGGCGAACCCCATTTCCTTTTTCAGGGGAAGCCAAAGGGAAACTCATGGCTCATAGCAGTATCTCACTTGCCCATTGCGCATCGAACCTTTTGGTTTCCTTTTCCCCTTTTGGTCCATAGTGGAGAGGGGAGCATACTGACGACTAATCTTAAAAACCTAGGACTAAATTGAAAAAAGGGGAAACCACTAAAAACTAGAAGACTTCATACTGACGAACTAAATTGAACAAAAAGCTTCCGGCTCCTTTGGGCGGCCGTTTTTGGGGATGACTCGGACCTCGCCTCCTCTCCTGGCAGGCTGGGACCTGGAGGACTTGTTGGGCACCGAGAAGATGTTCAGGACGGAGATGAGAAATGGCTGGGTTCCAGAGATGTCTTCCTACATCTTGGTGGTTCCCCTTTTTTTGAAAAGCAAAAATAGCATTCCACACCGGTTATCATAAAAAGAGGAAAATGACACATATTATATATATATATATATATATATCATGTTAGTTGGTGCCTTGAAAGGGTCGTGTCTTCGTTTTGCTTGTTTGCTTGTGTCCGGCATTTATCGACCTCTCCCTGCTCGCCAGGAAGAAGCCGGTGAACGCGGAGCGCGCGCTGCAACTCTTCCAGGTGCTGATGACCTCAACGCATCAGCGCCGAAGCGAAAGTGGGTCGGGTCGGGTGCTTCTCACAGGGAACTCTCCGAAGAGGTGATTCAGCACATGGCTATTTGGGCATGGGTCAAAATTCGACCACCAAGGGCCTGCAGGTTTTAGTCTATGTTTCCATTTACCAGGGTTCCCCTTTGGGTACCTATTTTTGACCCACAGCCATTTTGGTAGACATATATATATTTATATACACATAACTCTCGTAGCCTTTAGTTTCTTCCTAGCAGCTTGGCCAGTTATTGGTATTCCATTTGGTTTTGCTGGGGTACCCTCCTGTCCACGTTGGAACCCCTCCAGAGGGTCCAGTTTACAGGAACATGATGTTAGTGGACAGGAGGGTGCCCTCCAAAGAAGACACACCCATGCAAATGGCTATGAAAAAACTCAAGAGTCGGACCCCCTTGAAGAAGTGGACAAGAATCCCGAACCGAAATAGCGTCCAAAGGGTCTCCAATTAAAATAGATGCTTTGGAAACTGTTTGCCTTTTGCTTTCCCTTCAAATTTCAAAAAGGTATTCCCAAACACACCCACACAAATAGCTTCTTCTTTGGCTGCTCGGAGGAGCATGTGGTTGAACATTGGTCACTTGTCCACCAGCGCCATTTGCTTCCCCCACATGGCTCCAAGCCCAACTCGGTCGAAAATCGGGCTGCACTCTTTTGGGTACGCTACACTGCAAGGGTCTTCAGAGCCTCTCTGTTGCATGGCTTTCGTTTCGTAGGATTGCCCAAAAATCAGCTACCCAAAATTTCAAACCAGGGTGCGCTTCTGGAGGTTTGTGGCCGTGTATTCCCTGAAGCGGCGGCTGTTTGTTTGCTCAATGCTGCCCAGGCTTGCCAGAGCCTTGAGGCTGTTTGTCAAAACCACAATCAGCCCCCGATTCGTCATGTGAATCTATTGATGGTCATGTTCCAGTTGTCCACGGTTTGTTTTTCATTGTTGGGCAGCAACACGTTGCCAGTGACTGGGTTTTGATTGCGACTCATTTGGGGTTGGGCCCTTCTGCCGAAAAGGGTTGAAAGCCAAACAAAAAGAGCAACAAACCCAACAAACCCGCTTCTTTGGCCGCGTTGAAAGTGCCCTTCGGTTGGTAGGGATTGAACATCCCAAGCTCCGGCATTCGATTCTCGAAGTTTCCGATGTGTCCGTCGGGGAATTCCCATTCCGGCTGTTTTTGTCCACATTGGGATAAGACCAATTCCCCCAACGCCCCACAGGTGTCCAACTTGTTTTTTCTTTTTTTTTGGAGACCACCAGATTGACAAAAAAGTATTGCATTTCCTACTAGCGTAGCTTTCTTTTGGGAGGTATGCCAAACCGATCCCCAAGAGGCGGCAAAATGACCACCCCGGTTGCAAAAAGAGCCGGCCATCTAAACATCCGTCGACCACAAAGAAACTGACCTTCAACATGCACATATGGTGATGGTTAGCCTGGCTCAACAGTGTTTTCAACCGCTCCCGACCTCTCAAGCAAATTAGGGGCCTCTTTGTCACACCATGGCTGATCTTTGGTGTGTCCGAATCTCCCTTTATGTTGGAAACAATTGGGTTTTCCATAAACCAACTTACCGAATCACCTTGACAAAGGGGGAACTTGATTCATCCTGTGAGGGTTGATCAAAATTCCTGGCCCCCCAGGTTTGACCATGGGACACTTTTCCCATGTGCGACAGATCAAACCTTTTTTGTGCTTTTCCAACCAACGGTCATCCCATGTATCAGGGACGTTTTGATCAACTCTCATGTGCCTGCATTAACTTGCTGGTGCGATAGGCAGGGAATGAGACATGGAACGACCCCGAAATGAACCCATCCAACAGGCGGTTTCTATTTTTTTCGGGTTCCCAGATTCCCTACCTCCCTACCTCCCTACCTCCCTACCTCCCTACCTCCCTACCTCCCTCCTCCCTGCCTACCTCCCTACCTCCCTGCCTCCCTCCTCCCTGCCTACCTCCCTACCTCCCTACCTCCCTCCTCCCTGCCTACCTCCCTACCTCCCTACCTCCCTCCTCCCTGCCTCCCTCCCTACCTCCCTACCTCCCTCCCTACCTCCCTCCCTACTTCCGTACCTCCCTACCTGGCTGTGCACCACCCATTTTAGAACCTATTTTAGTGGTTGGATTGAATCGGATGTTTCACTGGCACGGCCCTGGGGCTTTTGACCCATGGCCACCCATCGCAAGTCTACGGGCACCGCCAGAGCAGCCGACTCGACTGAGGAAGCGCTGGACCCGGGACCGCGCCACCCGTGGGGACGGCAAGAAGATCGCCGACGCCTTCGAGGTGGCCCGGGTCACCGAGGTGCAGAACCAGGCGACGGCTGGGGCTTGGCCGGCCGCCGGGGGGGTGGGGGGGGGTGCTTTGATGGGGTGGGTGTCCTTATTTTAACACATGGGGTTTGATCAAGAGTTGGGTTTTCAAAGTCTAAAATGGTTGCCTTAATACCAAAAGAGTCAACTTGGAGAAATGTACCATACTCTTCTTTTGGGTTGGTGTCCTTATTTCAACACATAGAGATTGATCGATATTCCGTTCGGCAGAATGACCATGGGTATTCTTTTCCTCCTTGTAGCGGGGGAAGTCATTTGTTTTGGGACCAACAGGGGGACGACCGGATGAAATCCACCAAAAGCCTGTTTTGACGCAAATTTAAATGGCTGGGAGGGTGACTAAAAGTTTTCCTCCATGTAGTGGGGGAAGTCATTTGTTTTGGGACCAACAGGGGGAAGACCGGGTGAAATCCACCAAACGCCTGTTTTGACGCATAATTAAATGGGTGGGTGGGTGACTAACAGTTTTCCTCCATGTAGTGGGGGAAGTCATTTGTTTTGGGACCAAGAGGGGGAAGACCGGGTGAAATCCCCCAAAAGCCTGTTTTGACGCATAATTAAATGGGTGGGTGGGTGAGTAAAAGTTTTCCTCCATGTAGTGGGGGAAGTCATGTGTTTTGGGACCAACAGGGGGAAGACAGTGTGAAATCCCCCAAAAGCCTGTTTTGACGCAAATTTACATGGCTGGGTGAGTGACTAAAAGTTTTCCTCCCTGTAGTGGGGGAAGTCGTTTGTGTTGGGACCAACAGGGGGAAGACCGGGTGAAATCCACCAAAAGCCTGTTTGGACGCATAATTAACATGGGTGGGTGGGTGCATAAAAGTTTTCCTCCATGTAGTGGGGGAAGTCATTTGTTTTGGGACCAACAAGGGGGAAGACCGGGTGAAATCCCCCAAAAGCCTGTTCTGACGCAAAATTAAATGGTTGGGTGGGTGACTAAAAGTTTTCCTCCATATAGTGGGGGAAGTCATTTGTTTTGGGACCGACAGGGGGAAGACCGTGTGAAATCCACCAAACGCCTGTTTTGACGCATAATTAAATGGGTGGGTGGGTGACTAAAAGTTTTCCTCCATGTAGTGGGGGAAGTCATTTGTTTTGGGACCGACAGGGGGAAGACCGTGTGAAATCCACCAACAGCCTGTTTTGACGCATAATTATCTGGGTGGGTGGGTGACTAAAAGTTTTCCTCCATGTAGTGGGGGAAGTCATTTGTTTTGGGACCAACAGGGGGAAGACCGGGTGAAATCCACCAAAAGCCTGTTTGGACGCATAATTAACATGGGTGGGTGGGTGCATAAAAGTTTTCCTTCATGTAGTGGGGGAAGTCATTTGTGTTGGGACCAACAGGGGGAAGACCGGGTGAAATCCCCCAAAAGCCTGTTTTGACGCAAATTAAATGGCTGGGTGGGTGCATAAAAGTTTTCCTCCATATAGTGGGGGAAGTCATTTGTTTTGGGACCGACAGGGGGAAGACCGGGTGAAATCCCCCCAAAAGCCTGTTTTGACGCAAAATTAAATGGGTGGGTGGGTGACTAAACGGTTTCCTCCATGTAGTGGGGGAAGTCATTTTTTTTGGGACCAACAGGGGCAAGACCGGGTGAAATCCACCAAAAGCCTGTTTTGACGCATAATTAACATGGGTGGGTGAGTGACTAAAAGTGTTCCTTCATGTAGTGGGGGAAGTCATTTGTTTTGGGACCAACAAGGGGGAAGACCGGGTGAAATCCACCAACAGCCTATTTGACGCATATTTGAATGGGTGGGTGGGTGACTAACAGTTTTCCTCCATGTAGTGGGGGAAGTCACTTGTTTTGGGACCGACAGGGGGAAGACCGGGTGAAATCCACCAAAAGCCTGTTTTGACACAAAATTAAATGGCTGGGAGGGTGACTAAAAGTTTTCCTCCATGTAGTGGGGGAAGTCATTTGTTTTGGGACCGACAGGGGGAAGACCGTGTGAAATCCACCAACAGCCTGTTTTGACGCATAATTAAATGGGTGGGTGGGTGACTAAAAGTTTTCCTCCATGTAGTGGGGGAAGTCATTTGTTTTGGGACCGACAGGGGGAAGACCGGGTGAAATCCACCAAACGCCTGTTTTGACGCATAATTAAATGGGTGGGTGGGTGACTAAAAGTGTTCCTTCATGTAGTGGGGGAAGTCATTTGTTTTGGGACCAACAGGGGGAAGACCGGGCGAAATCCACCAAAAGCCTGTTTTGACGCAAAATTAAATGGCTGGGTGGGAAGTCATTTGTTTTGGGACCAACAGGGGGGAAGACCGGGTGAAATCCACCAACAGCCTGTTTGACGCATATTTGAATGGGTGGGTGGGTGACTAAAAGTTTTCCTCCATATAGCGGGGGAAGTCATTTGTTTTGGGAGCAACAGGGGGAAGACCGGGTGAAATCCCCCAAAAGCCTGTTTTGACGCAGAATTAATTGGGTGTTTTCCTCGATGTAGTGGGGGAAGTCATTTGTTTTGGGACCAACAGGGGGAAGACCGGGTGAAATCCCCCCAAAAGCCTGTTTTGATGCAAAATTACGTGGGTGGGTGGGTGGCTAAAAATGTTCCTCAATGTAGTGGGGGAAGTCATTTGTGTTGGGACCAACAGGGGGAAGACCGGGTGAAATCCACCAAAAGCCTGTTTTGACGCACAATTAAATGGGTGGGTGGGTGACTACAAGTTTTCCTCCAGATAGTTGGGGAAGTCATTTGTTTTGGCACCAACAGGGGGAAGACCGGGTGAAATCCACCAAAAGCCTGCTTTGACGCAAAATTAAATGGCTGGGTGGGAAGTCATTTGTTTTGGGACCGACAGGGGGAAGACCGTGTGAAATCCACCAACAGCCTGTTTTGACGCATAATTAAATGGGTGGGTGGGTGACTAAAAGTGTTCCTTCATGTAGTGGGGGAAGTCATTTGTTTTGGGACCAACAGGGGGAAGACCGGGCGAAATCCACCAAAAGCCTGTTTTGACGCAAAATTAAATGGCTGGGTGGGAAGTCATTTGTTTTGGGACCAACAGGGGGGAAGACCGGGTGAAATCCACCAACAGCCTGTTTGACGCATATTTGAATGGGTGGGTGGGTGACTAAAAGTTTTCCTCCATATAGCGGGGGAAGTCATTTGTTTTGGGAGCAACAGGGGGAAGACCGGGTGAAATCCCCCAAAAGCCTGTTTTGACGCAGAATTAATTGGGTGTTTTCCTCGATGTAGTGGGGGAAGTCATTTGTTTTGGGACCAACAGGGGGAAGACCGGGTGAAATCCCCCCAAAAGCCTGTTTTGATGCAAAATTACGTGGGTGGGTGGGTGGCTAAAAATGTTCCTCAATGTAGTGGGGGAAGTCATTTGTGTTGGGACCAACAGGGGGAAGACCGGGTGAAATCCACCAAAAGCCTGTTTTGACGCACAATTAAATGGGTGGGTGGGTGACTACAAGTTTTCCTCCAGATAGTTGGGGAAGTCATTTGTTTTGGCACCAACAGGGGGAAGACCGGGTGAAATCCACCAAAAGCCTGCTTTGACGCAAAATTAAATGGGTGGGTGGGTGACTAAAAGTAGACTAAAGTAGAGCCCTACAAACTTGGGGGCAAACCTGGGGGTGTCAGGGATGATCCCAAAAAGACTCTGTTTCTCCTCTTGGTGTCCCTTGAAACGACGCACACGCCCACATGGGTGCGTTTTGATCGTCTTAACCTTGGATGGAAGGTATCGGTTTGTTGAATCATGAGATCTCTGGCGCCCCTTTTGTTGTCCACTGATTTGCTTCAGGGAGCATGTCGACGCACACCCGGGTTGGCCCCGGGCTTTTTGACGCGCGAGAGCGCGTCTCAAATGCTGGAACCTCCAAAAGCGACGAAAAGGAGCAAACCCCAAACAAGGTGTCAACTCAGAGCTCCCTGGGCTTCTCTTGGCTCCGACTTTCTGCTTTCGAGAATGTTTTTTTGACCTGCGTCGTTTTTCTCGGGTTTCTTGGCGGGGCGCGCCCGGCCACCGGGACAGGCGAGCTGGGAGAACTACCACCGGCGCAGGGAGGAGATCGTCAGGGAGTGCAATCCGCCTGACCGGGAGCCGCGCCTTAGCGACCATTTGTTGGGCTGGGGACTGAAGGAGGGGACTGAAGGGATGGGCGTGTGTGTGTTTGTGTGTGTGTGTGTGTTTTTAAAGAGGGAACTAAGGGAAGTGAAGGGAGCTGAAGGTTTGTGGAGCCATTTTTGCGGTTCCCCCATTTGAAGATAGTCATTGCCTGAACAGGGATGACCACTCTCACGAGTTACAGTCTTGCCGGAGGAATTGAATCCCTGAACGCGATGTACGTCCGTAAGCAGCTTTGGAGGAAGTCGCTTGGTGTTGTTCAAGGGAGGATCATTGACGGGAAATGCAGACTGGATAGCAATAGCAGCTTCCCCACTTTTCCCCATACCATAATATGGCAAATGATATGAGCAACGAACAATTTGACCGGGGTATGGCTTTGGGCAGTCCCCCTTTCTTTTTGCAGCCTGATATCGGTTTTGGGTAATTTCTGCCAGTATTGCTTGGTATTCATATTGCTTGCCAAGCGCGGCTTTCATGTCGCAGAAGCCAGGAAGTTTCACTGGAAGTTCGACCAGAGGTCTTGGCCAACTTCTTGTCCTCGCTATGATATGAGGTACGCTCCCCTTTCTCCGGATCAATGGCAGGAGTGGAGTGGTCGAGTCATGACCGAAGCTTGGCAGATCGGGTGTTGGATTGGTTATAGGTTTAAACCTCAGGCCCCTTCTGGAGAGTTTTTTTTTTGGGGAAAAGAACACAAATGGGTTGGGTACCTTTTGTTTCCCCTGAAAGCCAACAAACAAGGGTATCCTCAGAAAACGACACACCCACAAAAAACCGGGTTCCTAACATGTGGTCACTTTGTAAGAATTCACGCCTAAAGGTGTGCGTGGGTTTGTCAAAATGGGTTTGACCCTCTCTGGGGACCTCTTCAGAGGCAAGAAATTCAGCTTCCAAAAGGAAGTTATGATGTTCGATGACTGCCAAGTGTTGCAAGCAGACAGGCCACTTGGCATTAAAGGGACGACGCATCAGTATCTTTTTGGATGCGAAGAGGCAGCAAGTATGTTGGGTCTGCTTCATGCCAGGGCATTGTGCAGGACGCGCATGTCAGAACAGCGCCCAATGCTTGAACCTTGAGGCTAGTATTGCATCTTTCTTTCTGGGCGACAGGGCAGGCTTCCCTAAATTCCCCCTTTTGGTGCTTAGAAACATCGGCTGGCCCAACTTTAAGTGAGATGTTCCTTCTCGTGGGGTCATGTTTACTGGTAAATATGGGGAGTTTCCTTTTGGTGAGGTGATGTTGGTGAACAGAGGGGATCTCTGACTGGGCATCATTCCACCCCGAGGATGATATTGGCAACGAGATCGCTTCTGCTTGCCGGCTGTCACCTTTGGATCCACGCATCTTGGCGAAGAGGAAGTCGTAACGATGCGTGCGCTAGACGGTCAAGGTGCAAACAGACAGGGAACGCCATGGCAAGCTGGAGGATCATTGAATATCGGTTTTTGAATTGATACATATAGAGAGATAAGACAAGCACCGGTAGCATAAGATCGATAGATCGATAGAGCGACATTTTTTTTGATAAATGGATCGATAGATAGATATGTTCGATCGATGGATAAATTCGATGGATGGAATGGATTGCATTGGATTGGATTGGAATGGAATGGAATGGAGCGGATTGGATTAGAATGGAATGGGATGGGATGGGATGCATGCATGCATGCATGGATGCATGGATGATGCATTGGATGGCTGAATGGATGGATGCATGGATGGGTGGTTCGATCGTTTGATCGCTTGATGGATTGATAGATCGATAGAATGATAGATCAACATATAGATAGATCGAAGAATAGATCAGTTGATTGATAGATCGACAGACAGCCAGACAGACAGCCAGACAGACAAACAGACAGGTAGGCGGGTAGGTAGGCAGGCAGATGGGTACATGGGTAGATGCGTAGACGGTTGGCAAGGTGGCTAGGTAGGTAGATAGGTAGATAGGCGGCTAAGCTACGCAGGCAGGAGATAAGTAGATATATATATATATAGGTATATATATATATATAGATATTAGATATCATATATACACATACACATCCGACTTGGCCGTTTGTGCTGCGCCATAAAGCGACGGCTAGATGGGCAAAGGCTTGAGAACACTGAAGGCGCTTAACGCAGATGTTCCCGGGCGCCAGAAATCTGCGGGCGCTTTGGAACTATGTTTCTGATTTCGTGTCCGGAAGCACAGTGCCTTGACTAGGTCCCCCAGTAGTGCCCTTTTACCCTCTTTTTTTTTTGGGGGGCGTTGCCCTACTAAAATAGACTGCAGAAAAAAGAGTACCCTTATTCTAACCTCTCCACTGGAGGACCTAGTTGAAGATGTTTGGACGAAGTGCTTTGACCCCGGAGCGAAATGGGCACGCAGCTCTCCCCGTGAACAAACATGCAGTCCAGCGAAGCTGCTAGAGCATTGTGTCTTCAAAGGCATTTGGGTGGTCAAAATACAACCAGGACCATTGGTTGTGGAATGGGCTTCATGTGAGGTTTTTTAGTCTTTTCCCTTTACCAGGGCAACCCATTTTGGGGTGTCCGCTTTTTCTTTTTTTTTGGACCCATAGCCATTTCCGCTCTCAAGCGCCTTAGGATGCAACGAGTTCCTGTTCTTCCACGGCGTCAAACCGCAGGTGGCGGATCTCATTGCTGCTCGGCAATCGAATCGGTCACCTATGTGGCAAGGTGCGGGGATTCAACAAACTGGACATGTTTTTGCTTTGGTGTCCCCAAGCCAAGCTGCAAAAGGAAGCCTCAAGAAAGCAAAAAGCCACCTGGACCCTCAAGAAGTGGCATTGTTGTGGGGTGATTTACCACTTTTAAGGTTACGGGTAGGAGAGTCCAGGCATTCCTTGGTTCACTTTCCCCTGTTCGGAGAGGTGCATCTCGCCCGCCAAAGCGGAGCTTTGCCCGTGTAGACTCGGGCTTATTTGGCAGAGGGTGCAGGCATCATGGGTTCTTGGCAAATGTGCCGTTTGATTTCTTGGTGCCGTTTGAGAAAAGGCCCCCGGACACAAGCATTCCGTCGAACCATCGATTGAGCTGATGTCTGACATGAATACGCAGGTTCTAGGCTTTTGTTCCATTTAGTGAGGTGCCATTTTGGTACATCTTTTTGAGCCACTGCTATTTCGCTCAGGCAGAGAACCACTTCGACATCTCGTTCGCCTCCAAGGTCCCTCGGCCAAGTTATGTCTATATGTCCCCTTATAAATTGCGGGGCGAGGGGCCGTGCTTGGGCGACTAAAACAGCACCTTTCAGGCCCACCTTGGTTAAGTTTGTTTTGGGTGGAGTGATGCTTGACGAGGACATGAAACGAAGCTTGTGTTTTGATAGTGGTGGTACAAAGTCGGTTGCATGTTTCTCTCGCTAGCTTGGAGTCCAGTAGTTCGGCGTTTTTCACGGTTTCAGGCAGCGGCCCGCAGATCATCAGCTTCGCATATACACAGGAATGTGCAAATGCACTCGGCAGTTAGAAGGAACCCTCAGCACTTGAAATGTATAGCACGTGAGCCACAACCAAAACTTGAATCCTTGAAGGCTTACAGCCTGCCAACCAGAACCCAAAGTGGCGGCCCATACAAATGCCCAGACGACTTTACTGGAGTGGGTTGTGACTCCGCTTTGCTTTCCTTGGCATTGCATTGCTCTTCTGTTTGGGTTCCTGAGGGCCACTTGACGACGGGCACACAGAAAAGGCGTGTCCTTTTGGTTCCCCTTCTACAAGAAGATATGCTTAAAGCCCGGGGATTGATGATCCGGTTAGTAAGCAGTCCCAGCCAGAAATAGTTGCGGATATCCGCCGAAACTTGATTCTTCACATGGTTCTGGGTAGACCATTTTGGTACAGGGTTTTGATTGTGACTCATATGGGTGGGGGTGTCCTTTTGGTTCCCCTTTTAAACCACCCCAAGGGTGCCGTTTACATAAACACACACACACACACACACAGACACCCTATGCCAACAAAAAGTCGCGGCATGGCCTGAGACTTCTGCATGGATCGCTGTCGAAAAGGCTACCTCATAGCCCCCCCAAAGCGGTCATGTCACTTCCTCAACCCTGTTGCAATGTTCGGGGGGATTTCTATTTTGAGCTCCATACATCCACCGCGTAATTATCTACGATGGCCCAGTCCAAATTCATAATCGCATGTCAACTATTACGGGCATTGTCAATTCTGTGTGCCCTTATGGAACAAAGCGGGTTCGCTGTGTCAGTAAATGATCAGGCCAACAGAAGGCACAGACTTGCCACACATGCCAGTGGCCAGCTCCCGATTGTT